AGTGGCCCGTGTTTTTCTATAGCTCCTCGTTTTTCATATTCTCGAGTTAAAAGTTAGCTTTTTAGTTTCCCCCTCTATAGTCTCCTGAGTGTTTTATGTAGCTGGCTTTAAAAAAAAGTGGGAAAAGTTACACAAACACGGACTAACATACGCACACACAAATCATTTTGCACATGCCTTTTGCAAAAACATCTACTCTTGCTGCATAAGTATGTATTCCATGTCTCAGTCCTTCTCTTCCATGTCCCCCCAGCAGACAGTGAGAGCCAAAAGAGACGGGAGCTACAGTATCACTGTGTTTTTGCACCAAAAGAAGCCGGGGGCCCTTGTGTCCAGGGGCCAGTTTCCCCAAGAGGCTCCTCTAAAGGACTTGTTGCCCTCCTCTGTGGTTGGCAGCAGGTCACAAAAAGAGGTCAAGGGTCGCTTGAGACAACACGATGTCAACAGACCTTCTCACAGACAAACAGGATGAAATAAATAAATTAACACTCTGAGTAAAGGTCACATTTTGAATATTGTTTGAAGAGTTGACAATATTGCTTATTTTATGGAAATCCCCTACAATTATTCTTGTTTATTGATTTTCTGAATTTGAGTTCCTATTACCATATGAACAAAGATGCTTATTTGGGGATTTTCTCTTATCAACTCATTCCATAAAAACAACACATTCTTGCTAAATTTACTTACTACAGCATATACGTTTCCAGAAAATACAATACAGAACAAAACAGTGACATGAATACCTTTTTATTTTTAGTGTTTTGTCGTTTGATGTTTTGAAATATTTGTTAACGTGTCTATTTTTTCCTTTTATCCTCCACAGGACGCCACGACATTCTGCATGTGTGGGGAACACAATTCACAATCGTTCATAATCCTAGAAACCTCTGTAGGTATTTATAAGCGTCTCTGGTACAAGATGACTGACAGAAATGTCTCCCTTTATCCAGAGTAATGTGGCAAATGTAACACCTTCTTCTTACAATCAATTTCATATTTCCTGAAAACAGCACATCTTAATTAGGACACATAGAGCAATCTGGGGTTGAAGTGCTTCGTGAATAAAATGTGCATCATCAGCCTAATGAAATACAACGCTGAAAATGAAGTCTACTGGACTTGAGGCACGCAAAATGACAGGATTCCTGGAGCAAAATGAAGCAGTTTCTATTGTGAGTACCCGTGTGCAAATATATACTTTTATACAGTATTGGTGTATTTGTTTGAGTGTAAAACCAAATAAAAAACAGATATTTGTTTGTTTCCGTGTTTCTTCAGTATGGAACTGACAAAAGGCAGCACCGCCTTTGTCCTAATTTGAGCACCACATTCACCAGTGTGCATCAAAGTGTCAGAGATTGAAACATAAAACATGGACGAGGACAGTGGTGCAATTATCACTATTTTCTAATAAACTGTCAGTCAAACCGCTCCACAAATGACACTAATATCGTAGGATGCAGCATTCGATATCAAAGATCTCATCGATGCTCGTTCCTCCTGTGGCCCAATCTTAGGCCTGTCCTCCCGTCTTATTATTACCATCATCATTCGGACATGAAAGGAGAGAAACAAGTGCTGCGCCATCGCCAAGGAGAAACCTTGATCTTGGGGCATTTGCATTTGTCACGTAGTTCCACTGGATGGGTGAATGCGTTACCAAGGTGTCCTCTCATTGGATGGCACTGAAAAGCTGGCATTTTGCTAATGCTCAAAGCAAGCACGACACCCCCTCCCCCTCCTTCCCTCTCCCATGCTGTCACACTCAGTTGGTGACACTAGGGGGCAGCCCACTCTGTTGGTTGTCATTATGAAGAAGCCATACACAGTGGGGGTTTTATCAAAAGAAAGAGGATACAAAAAGGTTTAAAATAATAATAACAAATCAGTAGATCAATTAATATTGATGCCTTGAAAAATCGATCGATCGATGTCCTGATTTTTCAATATGAAGACATTGACACACAGCGCGTTTGGTACAGCGTGGCTAACTATTGGAATCTACCTTGAATTTGCCGTTGAATACAGGTTTCCAGTAAATCAAGGATCATATTAAAAACACACAGATTATCAAGAGGTGTTAAAGTTAAACATGTTAATACAAGATAATTGATACAAATCTGTCTGCTGCTTGTGGAAACTATATACTGATCTGAAGTAATTGATGCCGCTGTTTGAATTCATTGTTACTGTGTGATGCTTGAAAGAATGATAAACTGCACACAGCAGTACACAATACATCTCCATTCATTCCACAATCGTATTTTTAAAAGGCCAATATGTATTAAGATTACGTGAACTAAATATTGAGCTTACAAAAGGGGAGAAAAAGTGATTGTTAAGTGTTAGTTTACATTAAGTGTCAAAGGGAAGCAATTAAATCAAAGTGCTAAATACACACATAGATCACAAATGCACTTTGAGCTAAACTGTAGCAGTTTGTCTTTGGTAGATCAGAAGGCTGCTGGTGAACTATGGAAACCCCAAAGGAACAACGTTCATCTGGAGATGAATTAATGTAAGATCTGAGATGATTATCACAGGGGCAGTCGGCCATTTCATATTTCCAGCAAGTGGCAGTGGAGCTCAAATTTGAACCACGGCGAGATTTACATGTACTTTTCTTGATGAGAATGAGACTCTGATCCCCTGCTTTGCAGTGGTAACTGGTGCATGTTTAACTCAATTAGATAATAATACACAGACAGCTTTATAGATGAACCATATTTCCTGCATTAGTGAGCGTGTGTGTGGGATAAAACACACTCAAGTAAAAATAAATTTGCCCTCCACATAAATGTAGAAGGTATATTAATGTATAATACAGATACAGATACACTTGACCTTGTTTGATTCAAATAAAACAATGTCTTGCATTTTCTACTGTAAATAGTTTTGTTTCCTAAACAACATTCTTACTTCCATGTCAATAGAATTTAGAAAAAACGCATGAATAATTTGTGAATTAACTGTATACACATTTTTTGTTATTGTGTCGTCACCCTTTTTTAAAATGTTTTATGTTGCCTTATGGAATCTATAAACAATTTAGCCAAATACATTTAATAACTAGGACCTCCCCCTGATATGGCAGTTTTATCCGAATTCCAACTGTATCCAAAGACAAAGACACAATGTTTTGCGCTACCTTCTCAACTGTTGCCATGGTAACAAAAAGATTATAGTTGCATGCATTACATTTAAGGTGCAAAATGCTAATCTCAGTCAACCTATCTGTAACTGGCCTTCAATTCAGCAGGGTTCTTTTTTTTTATAATCTTCACAATCATTTTGGAGGTATAGTTGAAAAGAGAAAAAAAAAATGTAATGAAAAAACAGGTCAGACGAGCTCAAGCAATGCAAAGTGTTCTCTTGTCGGCCTTTCAACATACAAGGTCAGGTCAGTCGTGAAGTACGGCTGCTGCCTTTCAAACTCGACATGAGGGTGGGATCCCCTCTCTGACACACAGAAAGCCCACTATTACAGCGTCACCCCTCCAGAAGCTCCTCAGCTCTTCTGTCTGCGTTCGGGATGGAAGAGAGAGAGAGAGAGAAGGGGGGATCGGGAGGGGGGGGGGGGGTGGTCCTCTCGCTGAAGCGGAGCTCCCCGCCCCTCTATGGAGAAGGGACATCGGTGAATGGAGCCCCACTCAAGGGGAAGAAAGGAACCTCTCCAACGGTTTGTTTTGGAAGCTGTCTTATTGATCTGTCTACCTACGAATGAATGTGTGGGCCCAGTTTTCCATCCCGTGGGGACAATGGCACTCGAAGCCCGTATTAACCGGCCCGGTGCGATTCCCAGAGAACGGCTTGTTTTAACGCAGTTCCCACTCTCATCCAGAGATCACTTTCCAGGACATTTTTGGCGGCGATCTAGCTGGTGTGACAGACCAGGAAAGAGTTTATTACGAAATCACCTCTTACACAATTAGAACAGCTGCAGATGTAAAGAGAACCAGCTTCTTTATTATCTACTTAGTGAACGTTTTAAACTCACTTCACCTACTGAAAGAGTTGGAAATAAAGTCATATGAACTCCATGTGGCAACATGAACCCTGATTAAAGTATTTGTTTCATTCCTGAACTACTCCACTAATATTTTCCCCTCAAGAACAGTGAGCAGACAAATGTCATAAGGAGGCGGCTAATGAAACACAATTGGAGCATTATTGGGGTAAAATGGTTCAAAGACTAAACAAAAAGGCACAATTTGCAAACTTGTCTGAGACCTTGGAGAGTGGAAAGGAGCTACTGTAAACCCAGAGAAAAGATAAGAGCGCTGAGTATGTGATAATATTCCCCTACTGGAGAACTAAGCACTTTGGTGTAGGACGTTGGTGTAGAACCATTTCTTAAACCAGGGCCCACCATGATAATTTAAAAATAGGACATAACTGTAATTTCCTTCAAGTACATTGAAGCATGAATTCAAGGCCGTGCCACAAAAAGTAGGTCTGCAGTGGAAGCCAAAATTATGTAAAAACGCTTTATTCAAGTAATTGTTCAGATTTTCTACACTCTGAACGTGAAAATCGGTCACATTTTCCTCATTCTTTTTGCCTGGAAAGCACTATGGAAGGTTAACAATTTTGCACTACACACAATGCAAAATATTTAGTGCATTGTAGTCTATCAAATTTGAGGGACTTTTATCTTGTTGTAGTTGAAATGGAGGATCGGATTTATCAAGAGAGGTTGTTACTGGACTATTTTCTAAGAGTCTTTGGTGAGGCAGCATTTCTAAAGTTGTTAAGTTATAATCAGTGATTCATCAAACTTTTATGAGATTATTGATATTCACATTTCAAACAAGGTGAAACTCTGCTTCACCTAATGACTGTGACCAATGAATCCATTTGAGACTTCTACTTTACCCAATTATGGGATGTCCTTTCAAAACTAAAAGTAAATGCTTACAGCAAATAAATGAATCCAACTTCCAATCATACTTTGTGTGACAGTGATCCAGAGCATGAAGATAAAATAAAAAAGGACATAGTAAAGAACATTATTTATTTAAGACACAATCTAAAGCAGAAATAAATACACGAGAGAACAATGAGTGTAATTAACTTAACACTTTCAGTGATAACAAACGGAAGAAACAATGCCTCATCAGACCACTAAAAAAAAAGAAATCAGAGTATTTCTGCTTTTTTTTTCTTCTTCTATACAAATCGGACCATTGAAAAAAAAAAAAAGGGTTAATCTGCAACTGATTGGACAAACGATTTAAGCCATCAAGCGCTTCTATAATAAAATAGTGTTTGATGTTAACATTAGAAATGTTTACATACCTCGGCATGTGAAATAAATACAAAAAAAGTATAATAAATCAATCAATGAAATTAGTCATTAGGACAAATTTGACTTGGTTTGAAAGTTGGTGGTTAAGAGCTCAGGCAGAGCTGGGAATGGGAGTGTTAAATATGTTTAGCATTAAAAATAATTTTCATCAAAACAATCTAGAAATCAGGCAGGATTGATACATTCATTGTGTGCATATTCCATCATTTAAAAAGATACAAAACAGATGCTAAGACTTTTGACTCCAGGAACTAAAACATATGAAACAATTCTACTTGAATGTGTAAAAAGTGTTTTGTACAAACCCAAAAATGTGGATTTCATGAATTACAGCTTTATGACACAATAAAGGACTAAATGGAATACCACGGTGCCAATCGATTAGGTGATCAGTAATCAATCTGGCACAACGTAGCCTACATTCCTGAATGGACTGGACAATCGTATTGGCCGATTCTGGCTATTTTTGCGCACATTTACCCACCAAAGAATTACAGCAGGCCAAGAGACATCGTACATACCGCTACGTCTCGCTGTGAACCAGGGTTTGTGATTCCCTCATAACGAATCTACAGAAAACAGAAGGCTGCATTGTTAAAGTACGGTTATGCTTTCAAACACTAGCAAACACACACACCAAATCCTTAGCCATTGGGAGAGGGGGAACAGACTCGCTTGGCACCATTTTAAGAATCAGAACTTCACACTTTGATCAATCAGAAAAAGATTTCAAAACCAGACAGAAAATGGTTCCCAAATCAGCCCGAAAACGACAGATGGCTAAAAGTTAGAAAACAGAAAAGCAGACTAACTACCGAGTAGTTGATATCATCCTCTTTTGATCTAAATGCCCGTTGAGTATACAGATGACCTACAGCAGAGATCTTACACATGCAGACAGACACAAAGACTCAAGCACAAACCCCGACTGAGCCCTCAGTGCCGCCCTCCCTTTAAATCATTGATGATGAAGAAAGCGCTCTAAATACTCTCATAGCTTTTTAAAATGGCTCAGTTAAAACCGATGAGTTTACAAGGCAGAATAAACATTTAAATACTTCAGCTTCAAGTCAATGAGACGTTTAACATCTTTCTCTTGTAGGAACAGCTCTTCTTCAGTCGTCCACTCTCCAACCCCGTTTAGCTGACAGCCGGTCTGTGAATATCCACAGACGGCACCTTCCTCCCTCCTACTCTCTGTCACAGACGTGCCGGTCCTCGCCGCGACCTTTTAAGACTAGTTCAGACACTCCTTTGGTCCGAGGCAATGTAATCAAGTAAAAACACACACATATTTTTTAAAGTTTTGATCAAAAAAAAAAAAAGTCACGGGGCATAAAAATAGCAGTTGTCAGTTTCCCAAAACTTACAAAAACACAAAAAGGTGATGTTGACAGGAAGTCACATATTAACCCCCATCAACATCGGCAGAGGTAATGACCTAAATGTAGCTTCTTTACAATGCTTCATTGTGGGAAATATGCCAAATCAGACTGGAATACAGATGGTATTTAACTCCTATAACCAACCAACATAACCAACTTAACAGCATGTTTCCACTCATGCAGAAGAAGTCTGATGTACCTCACTACTGACACACTGTTACAGAAGCCTTAGTGAGCACAGAAAAAAGAAAGGATTAAACATGGGACAACAGCCAGGAATTTTGAAAAAGACATGGATGGAAATAAGCAGATCTGCCATTCAACAATGAAAAAGGAATAGTAATCAGCATCGGATATTTAAAAACAAACATTAACCTCATGTTATTCAAAATTCACACAAGAAACCGGACCAATTCCTCATTACTAACCCAATGTATGACCTATGGCAGCTCCTATTCCTCTAACCCATACTTCAGTCAGTTATCAAGGTTTAGAAATCTTAATCTCAAAATAAAAAAAAAGGTAGTGGATGTAGTAAAAACAACGACAAGGGGTTCAAAGAGTCATCTGTGGAGGAAGCACTGGGAGCTGAACCGGGAGCACTGATGATATGGTCAGTCACTAACGCGGTGGTCGGAGGGAGAAAGGAAGGGAGAGGAGGGGTTGCGGAGCAGAGTCATCGGCGGGGCCTCCGTCGCCCGCCACACAGTACCCTCTGAGCAGCCACCGCTGGGCCGGCGACGCTATGCCGCCATGAGATACTGATGGTAGAAGAGGCCGAAGAGGGACGTGGAGAAGAGGCAGGCGGCGATCCACCACGTGAAGAAGGAGAAGAGGCCCCGGAAAAGCAACGGGCTGAAGACCGTCCGCAGGCCTCCCAGAGCCACCGACAGCTGGGCCACCGACGCCCGGGCTCCGGTTTCCACCAGTGAAGCTGGTGTGGGGGCGGCTGCCATTGGTGCCGCCCCAGTCACATAGTCAGAGTGAACTTCATACAGGCAAGGAAGGTCTTCTTCAGGATAGACCCACCAGGAGTGTCCGCCTGTGATGAATGACACAAAAAGGACGACAAAAAAAGGTGTTGAATTCGTTGAAGGCAAAGAGACGAGCTGGAAAGGATCCGAGCGGTGTTTGACTCACCTAAGGTTTTGAGCAGCAAAGTCGTATGCAGCAGCATCACTAGTGGTGCCACATACTGTAGAGCGATTACACACAAGTAGTAAAAAACACGAGCAACCTGGGGGAATTTAGAGAGGAGGAATTATTATACTACATCAATGTACACAGTGTAAGACATGGCGTTTTAACACCAAATACAGCTGCCTTTTGTTTTTCTGCAAATAAAGAATATAGGAATACAGCAGAGTACGGAGCCCAGACAACTGGTCTAAATCTATTGCTGAATAAAATATCATGAATCATGTTATATCTTGCTATTAAAAGAGGGAATTTTTAACAACAGACACACGGCTGGACATTTTTTCTTACAATAAGTCTGTTTTTCAACTAAAGTTGTAGCACAATGCATTTCTGATAATACCAGAATGTGAACAATAATATTACTTAGACTGGTCTGCTTTAGACAAACCGCCAGTACTTTGTGTGGCTGAGGGCTTTAAAAAAAGGGACGAATAGGAAGAGCTGGTTTGCCTTTCTAGGCAGAGTTCTCACAATATTCTAAGATCACGCAAAATCGTATAATCAATATCACAAAATAGATCTATTCAGGGTTCGAGTAGCGAGTTGTGTCCAGTCAGCGTTCTCTAAGGAGCCATTGGCAGCTTGTGGCAAGGATTAGGCTTGTGAGAGACGACAAAGAACAACAAAAGGCAACTCCTGCAGAAGTTAACGTAGATTCTGCAACATAACTGGAGAGTATTTATTCGGTGAAAGAAGAGCAGGGAACGACCCTGAAAGCTTCTCTCGATGGGAAAGGTTTTCTGGCTCAACTGCCAGCGTAGCTTTGCTTAGTGTTCCATTCACAGATGGTTCAATCATCTGCCACATATTTTCGGAAAACGCCCGTTTCCACTGGATGCCTTTGTAACAAACCATCCAGTGTGTCAGGCTAAAGGCCGATGTGTTTAGCCACAACACGCTCGCTGATCATGTATCCAATTCCAGGTGCACCACAGGTGGGCTGCACGCCTGCTGCATAACGAGATGAGACGAGTTTTACGCTCTGTTCCTTAGTTCACAAGAAAGGACACTATGCATCTGTATTTGTATTTAATTAAGGGCACTTGCCTCACTCTTAAATCCCCCCCACCTCTGCAAAACCAGCAATATTTCTGTTACTAAATTGTCTCAAAATTGCAGAATGATACGTAAATGGGTTATTATAAATGTATCTTGATCACCATCTTCTGCAGGTCAACGGTGCTTATCCGTCCCGCCTCCCTCTTCATCTGGTCCACGCCCTTCTGGGCCAGGTTGAGGTAGGCCTGCATATGATGTCTCATCAATGCGAGCCGGAGTACACACATCAGTATGATGGCCCATAACCGCAACGTGTCATACGTGTCCTCGGTCATCCTTGTATTAATAAAAAAAGAGGGAGTGAGTGAGAGAGAAACCACGACGTGGACGGCATGAAAAAAAATCCACACATCATGTTTCTGCTCCATCGTTTGGATTGTATGCTGACAGTGTAACGTGGGGGGACAGCAAGAGCACAAAGGTAGAAAGGAAAAGAGGGTGAAAACGAGAGATAACATTTAGCACATGACAGAATTCAAACTTGCAACAAATACAATGCCTTTAAACGAATAACCAGCCAACACAAGCCAGCAGTTTGAGGTACCTCAGGGAAGCTCTTTAGTGTATGACTCAAATAGTTTACAGTCCAATTTGAACCCACATACACAATGTGCGTATTATCACTTCATCTACAAGCTGAATAGATTCTTTATCTCGGAACAATTCCACTTTCAGAACTGCTGTTGCATTGTTTACATTGTTTCCAGCACAAAAGCCACAATTACTAATATTTTCACAGCTCGCCAAGGTTGTCCAATTCCTCTTGTGTGAATGGCAGGTAATTAGCTTGCTATGTATCAGGGTCCAACCCGCCGACCAAGCACAGATCAAACAACCGTACATCTTCAGCACAGCCACCAAATGTTTAGGTAATCTCATTCAAGAGCTATAAAGAATCAATCCAGCTACTTGAACGTTTAAAAATAGAATAAAATAAAATGGTAAATATTTCTTGTTAGCAAGTTAGTTTGCCAAATGCAATGGGTGATGGTGTGACAGAATGACAACATCTGTTTCAGTGACATGTGTATCTGGACCACATGTGTAAACAATGTTGGAAACACAAAAATGACTTACAAAGGCACATTCTCCTTTTCCAGAGTGGGGTTCATCAGGTAGTCCTTGGTAATGGGCTTCACCCACAGAAGGACCATGATAAGAGGGGACAGAAAGTTGATATGAAGCAGAGTCCTATAGATAAAGAAAGGTGAATAAAGATGTGCAGTTAAACCAATGGTGATGCCAAACACTGAAAAACACTACAAGTCTGACTGCTGAAAGAAGCCCAAATAGTATTTGATAATAACTATAAACCTACTTCATTAATGACTCAATTGTATTTGAGAGAGAAAAACTAGCTCAGGGAAATTGACCTCAATTTGAAGTGAATGCAAGAGGAGGCCACTTTGGTGTCTATGCCAAAGTAGATAATTTAGATGTGACGTACACGTCTCTTGTATCTAACACGCTCTGAATAATCAGACTCTAATCTATCTCTAATTAACTTTTTACTAGACACTGAAATGCCACCACTGTATCTCCTTATTATTATTAAGTCTATCATCAAATGTTTTCAATTAAAAACACACAAGTGAAGACAATTACTGCAGTGGACTCACTGTGTAAATTTGGCTGTGGTCAGATTGAGAGCATCGAGGTGCATCTGAGCCAATCGTAGACCGGGGAATGTTAGGAATGCGCCAATCAGGGAGCAGAGCAGCGCCAGGATCAGCTTGAAGGTCAGTTTGGATATGGGACCCCTGAGGAGGGGAGAACAATAGTGAGATACTGCTGCCGCCGCTGGAGACATAAATACTATGAGAATACAAATGCTGCACTTACTGGGAATCTAAGCCCTGGTGCTCCAGAAATTGTAAAGCGCTGCCAGAGAAGTTTGCAAAACCTTAAAAAAAAATGTTGGTGTGAAACTCACTTGCTGGGGTCAAAATGACTAACATTTGGTTTCTACCAACTGGACCATTTCAGCACTCACCCGTCTCCAGACCAAACTCCAGGTAGTTTTCAGTAACAATGAGAATGGCCATGGCTTTGACAAAGAAGAAGAAAGCGAAAGTAATGCAGAGTGAACGCTCGCCACCTTCCTCCAGCTTGAAGTAGTGGGCCGTTAGAGAGAAAAGGGTCTTACTGTGAAGGCAGAGTCAAGGAAACACATCTCCCGCCGGCATATGAAGCAAATCTCGACCGCTCTGCAGATACATTTTTAATGCTGTGTACAGGTGCAAAGCAAATGGAAATAGGTTTTGGGAATCGAGCAGTCTTTACGAAGCAGTTTGTCCCTTCTCCCTGTAAACCCCGCCACCCCTATATGTCACACAGAATTGTTTGTACAGAATGGGAGGGTCTTTGGCTCCATGCCATGGAGGACGTAGTCATATTTTACGCTGCCCTGTCAACCTTGATGAGAAAGCTTTAAGGACAGAGCATCAATCTAAAACGCTTTTTGCCAAGGAGCCAGAAGTGTCTGTTTCTCTAACAGTCAAGTGACCTGGATGCCCATTTTTTGCTCTCCCCCTTTCAAAAATGGTATTCGATTCAGTGACATCTTCTTTATCGCCCAGTCTATTCAGTAATATGCACTCACAATACAAGTTTAAGCCAGCATGCAGCATCCAAAAGAGCCAAGTGGTGGACCACAATTAATAGAAAGCAGTTTGTGGGGAAAGGTGGGGAAATGTAGTCAGTCATTCCAACAAGCCCCGTGCCATCGGACGCAGATACCTGAAGAGCACGCTGCCCCGGGGAATCAGAGCAGGTTATGGCGGGAGAGCTGACAAGAGCCTAAAACACATCTTTAGAGCCGAAACATCCCATTAACGCCTATATAGCGCAAACATATTCCCTCGTCTTCATCGTGCCATTACGTCGGTCCCCCAGTGCGTCCACCACCCCTCCGCCCCCCCAACCAAGCACATCAGTGTGTCGAGTTTGAAAACCGGGCCTCCAATCTCCGACGTAGGCAGGAAATGACACACCATCCCATCACGCGGTCAGCCAGGCTCGACCACGACCGTCGGACAGACTGATCCCAATGGTCGGCGGCGAGGATAATGCATATAATTTAACCATCATTCAGTGTAGCAAAATATCAAGAAGCTGTGGAAGATAAGGTGGAGGGAGTGAAGAACTTCGGAGCTTCAGCAGACATTTTAAAGTCGCTCTCCGCTACCGCTGCATCCACATAATCAAGCCGGAATGATTTGGGGCGGTAGCCAATGTAAAGTGAAAACAACAAGAACGTGCGTCTGCTGAGAAGTGTGTGTCTGCTGAGAAGTGTGTGTCGTTGGGGTCGTCGTGGCGCAGGGGGTAGAGCGGGTGCGCTGGGAACCGCAAGGTTGGAGTTACACAGTTCTGTTACACAGTTCACACCAAAACAGCATTGAGATTCAGCAATGTGATTTGAACAAAAGGCTGACCGAGATGTAAAGAGTGATGGAAGGATACAGGACAAAAGCGATTACTAACAGGCACCAGACCACACTGATGTTCATCTCTCCCGAGGGCTGAGCCACGCTGTAGTACAGTTCCGTTATCAGATAGACCACAGTCGCCGCTACTGTGAAATCCACCAGCCACTGGAACTCCGGGAAGTAGTGTAATGCTGCGGACATAGAAAGTATAATAACAGTATTACATAATAAAATATACAGCACAGCTTGTTGTGATGTTTGAACTATATTCATGTGACATTTATCCCATTAGATTCATACCTAATGTGTCGACTTCCGCAATGTATTTCGTCTCCAGTTGCAGATCTATGTCTTTGGGAACCGTGAGTGGCTTATTCTCTATGTGACCATTGTGCTTCCTATGGGAAAAGAGGAGAGACGAAAAACTGTCAGGAGAACGGAAAGAAGCAACTTTAAAATAGAAGACAACAGGAATTTAGACCATTCGCATTTTTGATCACATAAAATAAATAAATTGTAGAATACAGAATTATGTTGTAAAGACATCCTGTAAACTTGTAAAAAGATTCTTCAAGGTGGTTTCTCTCATCTAGCCTCTGAATATCATCAATAAGAGGTATCTGTTTAATCTATTCTGCACTCAGTGTAGCGCTGGCTGACAACGTCGATAGTTGGCAGAGGCCTGGTCAATTTTTATTACTGTTTATACTACTGGACTCATCCATGACCAGGGAGAGGGAGGCTGCCATACACATAGCAGCAGCAGGGCTAAATTGCTAACAGCAGGCCATTGGAGAGGTGTTCTTTAAGCTCTGGGCTGGAAGAGCCGTCTGGTGGGCCTTCTCAGTTCGGCGCTTTGTTTGTTCAGCCCCTGTGTGCACGCTGGATTCACAGGACAATACCAATGTAAGACTCTTGGCCCAAACATGCCCTGGACAGATTTCATCTGTGAGGCACCTGACAGGAAGAAAAAAAAAAAAGGGGGCTCAGCCTTGCCCCTGACTGAGGGAGTCCGGCGGTCAACAAAAGGAGCGGAGCTGCCTGGCACGAGCTGGCAAAAGGACAGTGGTCCATCTTTCTCTTGAAGGGATTAGTGAACATGTGGCGCTAGAGAGCCTTGACCTGCCACATACAGGGTCAGAGAAAGGACTGTGCCACAAAACCGCTAGGCTAAAAGCTGGACACAGTGAGGATTAACTTTCTGCTGAGACTTTAAATTCACACTTAAAAAGGAGAGTACAAAAGAAATGGCGCTTAATTTGCGTGTTACAACATATAGTTCAACTTCCACCTGCAGCCGTAATAATCTAATAGTAGGTTTTTGAATTTCAAAGTAGTCATGAAGGAGACTCATCTTCCAGATTCCAATGTTGACATCTGACCACTTTGAAGACAACACGATGTTTGGGAAACTGAAACTCATTTCAGAGACGATGCAATCCTTTTAAAGTGTCATCCCTAAAATAGCCTGATAGTTATGGCTCCAAAAGAGGCCCAACTTCCCTTACATCCACTAGACAGGGACACTTCTAAGCCCAGTAGCTCTGAGCCTCGATGAAGATCCTAAACAACAAAAACAGACGGCTGCCTCCTTACTTCAAACAGGCCTCAAATGAGCCACATAAACACATCAACTTTGTCCGTTTGCCAACACGAGTGCGCTCTCCATCCATCTAAAATGAAGTGTTTTCATCTTTTTTCCCCCTCTGTGATGAAAGGGGTGCCATTTGTACCGTCTGTGTGCCCCTGTATTTCCTCAGCTCTTAACCAATATATCCTAAACAGTATTTGTACCCTCCCCCCACCCCACATCCACCAACCTGTCTTTCTTCTTCTGTCCTTTTTGTTTTCCAGCTAAGCTCCTCAGCTCATCTTCCGTAGGGTGCTGATACCACTGCAGACTGAACAAAGACAAGGAGAGAGATGTGGATTCAGGCTGCGATATGGACAGAAGGAGGGACTGAAAAAAGAACATTAGAAAAGCAGATTCGGGGGAAATTTGTTTACTTAAACATTTCCCTCTCAAGCAGCGCTATTAAGTTGTTATTCTACGAACATTACATGACCCAAAGCCTAAATTTGTCACCGCTGACCACAGACAATGAACAGACTCAAGCTTTGCTTGATTTCAGCAACTCTGATACTCCTCTAAAAAGCAAGTGTGAGAGGCACAACAACAGCAAGGTGGTCGGTCTTTAAATTGGAGCTAATTTAAGAGGATCCATTTGAACCTTTCTGCACACTCCTTAACTTTGTTTAAAAGAAAACCCTCTAGTCAGAACACCTTAAGAAGCACTTTGCGTTCTAGAGGAGGATAAAAAGCAACACATCTTGTTTTTCCCCTCGTACGGTAATTTATGTACATGGAAATGATTTACAAATATTCTGGGGGGACACTCTTGACTTTCTGTTCAGGGCGAAAGATTTACAAAAATGTTTGAACAGTGCCCTGAAAAGAAGAACATGATTAATTATTAAATGTGCTCCAAAAGTTGTTTACAGAATAACATATGCGGCACTAATTAGAGGAAACAAAAACTTTTGGGACTTTCATCCCAATATTGGGATGCCCTTTGCAAAATGATTTCATGATTTTTTTTTCTTCTATTCTAAACCCCTTATCAACAATCTGCTGTGCCGAGTTAATGTTTATGTCCCCATTGTTCTGGAATCTTTCTGAAATTAACTTTTCACAAGCCAAGAAAAAACTACAGCATTTAGAAGAATGATCAGAAACAACATGTGCAGGATTCTTCATTACCTGCCACTGCAGAGTAGCCATCTTGCAAAGGAATAATGAGGTATGATTTTCTGAATTACACTGGCCATTACCATGGTAACCACCAGCTGCACACCAATCACACCCTGTGGAAATGGGTTAAAAAAATACATTGAAATGTTAATTATACATGCATACATACCCTTCCTATAGCTTGGCCATTAGGCCCAAAAATATATACATTTGTTCAGTGACATAAAATGGGCTTAACGTATACAAAGCCCAAAGAGGATGGAAAAAAATTCTGGCCTTTTCGCTGTTTGGTGCTTGATTAATTCAGTCATTGACTGACGTTTGTTTCTTGGGGAAATTGTTGAAAGGCTCTATTATCTTGATTAAGAGCCGAAATTTAAACACAGAACAACCTTGAATTTACCATAGTATAGTGCACTCTGTAGAACCTGGGAGTTAAACCTTATTGTTGTGCAGTTAAAGCCCGAAACATGAATTAAGCGAAGTCAGAAGGCTAAAATCCCTTTATTGCGTATTTTACGTGAAGCCGCTGAAGGCATTATAGGGGGTGTTTCCCCCTATATAAAATATTTTTAAATGTATTGAAGACACCAGTTTTTCCTTATTTTCCTAATAAGTGATTTGATCATTAACTAACCAACTACTGTAATTTGAGTAAATGTTGTGATGTAAATACAATGTTCAATGTCTGCAACACCGGTCACAATGTCTCAATGTGCCCAGCAGAAGGAACAGCGAGCTCAGCTCCCAAAGAGGAGCTCAATATCAACCCAGCACACTTAGATCAATATTCACTTAGGCTTAAGAGGCCAGAATCAGTTCTAGCATGCTGCGCTTTTATCCTTTCACTGCAGGTAAGGTCTGCAAGTTGGTTTATCTTTTTAGCAATCATTAGGAATCATTGATATCTGTGCCTGCAGACACTTGAGCAAAGCGAAACAATTAGCTAACCTTTCCCCAGTTAAATGCTCTTTTTTCCCCCAAAAACAGTCTTAGATCTGTATATCTGGCAGCACCGGAGTAGTACTAGTGATTCTACTGGTGATTCTGCATACTTATCTCCAAAAATAGAGTGTAATTCCTGCCGCCGTTCTTGTTTTGTAAACATGATGTTTACACATCAATAGATTAGGCTAAACAGCACTCCCTGTCCCAACTACAAACAAGCCTGCATTCACCTTTGGAGGACGTTTTGAATTGCTAAATTTCTCGCTGCCCCATGTGCGCTTTGGTGGCAGTTTGAGGAAAGTTAAAAAGATTTTTGTAGAATTTGGAACTAATTCACGACTCAAATCTCAAAATGTCCAATACAGACTCTGTTAGCATGTGGTAACATGCAGGATACGCTTGGCCTTTTATTGGTAATGTACACAGTCAGTGTGTTTACATGATGGTATAATTTGAATCTTTGCTTAGTCGGACTATGCTATCTTTTGGGGCAAGTGCTATTATCCCAAAATACATGGCAGTGAATAAATCGAATCATTGGCCGAAAGCATGTCATATCCGATACGATAGGTGGCGCTGTTTTCATTACAACTAGTTGTGATACAGCCATTTCCGCTTGACCGCTTCACCACTACCAACAACAACAACATCAACATTACGAGAAAGATGGCGAACGGAGAGCAAGGTGAAGCTACATCCCTCTACTATTTTGGCATGATGTTAATAGGAGGACAGCGAATGCGAATGGCGCTATTGGCTGATTTGATAACGGAGAGAAGACGCCGTCGGGATCTCAAGCATGTGCAAAGACGCAAAGTCCAGTTCCTTATCTGATTCACCGTTACATGCCGCAATAGTCGAACTATCAACTGGATCGGATCGAGTTTAGCAGGGGTGTTAGTGGGATCGTAGTCGGACCGCACATAGTCGGACAAAGGTGTTTACATGAAACGGATAATTCGATTTCAGTCCGACTAAGCCAGTTATTCAAATCCATGTAACCACGCTGAGTGTTTGTCATACAAGATCCTCTCTTTCAAACAATAAAGACTGTTTAAAACAATGGCCCAGCTCACCACTCTCTGGCTTGGCATGGGTAGACCTACAGTACCAGTCAAAGGTTCGGACACACATTCTCATTGAATTGAAAATGTGTCCAAACTGTCGACTGGTACTGTGTGTCAGATTGTTTTAGGAGTAGAAGGTGGAAGTAAATGACCCCTTGACAGGACAGATGATGTTGGCACACTTGTAAACTAGACCTAGATTTTGGATTGCACACGGGACCCAAAGTGTCACTTAGCAGGGGGTTAGCTCCAGAAGCTAAGGTCAATACCTGCTCTGGAGGCACAGAGGGGAGACATTCATTTTGCAATCACACTTGGTAAGATGTGATGCGTGACCACACACACACACACACACACACACACACACACACACACACACACACACACACACACACACACACACACACACACACACACACACACACACACACACAACCTCTGAATCAAGACATTCACCATACTAGTAATGGTCATGATATATGGGTCAAAAGTCTGAGCTTGGTGGATGTTGACCATTCTCTGTGGGAGCCCTGCAGGGATCTCAGGTCTGGGACAAATTGAGCCAGCATGGACGCTCTTATCATTGCGAGTCCGTTTGACCCCCTCCACCCAAAAACCAAATGAAATCTGTAGGGGGTAGAGAGTAGGTGGCGAAGTGATAGCAGCCATCTCTAAGAGCTGTAATACCTCATTTCTATTTTGACCACATGAAACTAAACTTGAAGCTGTGAATCCCCTCATTGACCGATTACACCAGTGTCCTACACTCTTTGGAAACTGTTCAACTATCAAGTGGAAATGTAAGACAAAACACAAATATCGCAGCTGTGCTTAGGGACAGGATATACTGTATATTGGAAGGACAACAGAGGTTGACGTCAGGGAACGACAGTAACGGCGATCAGATTTTCGTTGGCAACCATTTTGAGAAATTGGCAACTAGTGTTTTAACTAGTTTTTAAAACACATGAGAAACTTGGACAGCGAACTTCAAAACATACACGTTAGCAAACTACTAACTAATGGTGGGGTCATTTGAGGGGCCCACAAGCCAAACCGTCAGTCCTGAAGGGCAAATGGATCTGTGATGGGAGTCAGCACTACGGTCCATACAGTGGATACAGCAACACAACACACCAAATTACCAATCAGGAAACATTCAAACAAAAAATCATTTCAGAAACTAAAGCTTGTATGTGTTTGTGAAACAGCTACATCATTAACCTGGCGTATTACTGCATAGTGTCTTAATTACTCGAAATATAAGATGGCAACAAAAGCCAACCATAGATTGCGTTTCGACCAAACACAAGATTAGATGAGGATGCTTGTCGATTCGAATATATTGTGTAAGATTATTGTGTTCCTTCCTTCCCTCGTCTTCACTGGTGGTGCTAAACTGGACATTTCCAACGGTGACCTGCATGACAACTAGTGTGCTGAGCAGAGGACTCAGCAGGATGTGGGTATGACAGATGATTAATAGGAAAACTAACCTAGTAACTAAAGAACACTAACATTTCACTGTTGTATTGTGAGATTTAGTACTCGTGTTGAGAGTGAGAACAGCTACTTTGTTAGGGAGGACATTTGAAGATTGTTGGGTGCTTTAGCAAATGCATGGATGCAAACAAAAATAACTATAATATTAGCCCAGTCTTAAAAAAGGTAAGGAGACATACACACGGTGCTGTAGTTAACTACTATCGCTTTCCATCAGTAAGCTCACAATGCAAACACTGTGTAAAACCCTTCAAATGAAGGCGAGTACACCTTGACTTCTCCCAAAGGTATCCTGCAGCCTGCTGAATGACAACGCTAAGCTAACCGCTTATTGGTAGGATTCAGTCTTGCACTACTAACGTTACCATGAAACTCTAGCTAATGTCAGTGCAATTATCCCATAACACTGCACGTGAGTGCACACCTGTGAAGCAGTAACCGTTATGTGCCATTAGTCCATTAGACTGCAGTCTGCGGTCACTTTAAACACTAGCTAGAGGGCTAGCGTCACACTGGTTAGCCGGCTTGCTAGCCAGCTAAGATAAGCTAACGTTACATCCCAATAACAAATTGGTAATCAACGTCGCAGTAGTTTCGGCAAGAATGCTGATATTAGACACTATTAATGTATCAATGAGGTGCCACAGAAGGGAGAAACCGTTGCGTTCAAGTGCTAGCTGTCATACTCACCATGTTGATGCGGTGCAGCTGAAACAGACTTTCCCCGAACAACACTGAGCACCCCGAGTCGGAAATCAAGCGGCGAGGAGCACATAAGCCCTTCTTGCGATGGTTGTGCACACAATGAAGGGGCTTCCTATTAAAATTGTCACGGTATTCTTGCGGAGATGGGTCACATCATAAAAAATCAATGGATTCAACCTCCGGTCCCGAATATTTTCAACTGCAGTAGAGGTCACGCTAAAACTCAGTGTACGAAGGTGTCTTAAGATATGCCTGTAAGAAAATACCATACTACGTGGATTACATTTTTCGATTTCCCACAAATATAAATAAAACTTCATTCATAAAAATGATCCAACTCATATCTGTGTGCTCTAATTCTTAGTTTGACTTAATACTTACACGGGAGCTGTACTTCTGTGCAGGATTATACAAGACTACTATAACTATGCATTGGCATTGGGACCGCCGAAACCGGAAGAAAAAGTTGATACGCCACAACCCGAAACATGTCTGTACCTTCAATCGATGATTGGCTGTGGTCCATGGTCACTCTAAAGGGTAACGTTAGAAAAAATAAGTGCAAGGTAGTCTGAACAAACCAAATGATATGCATCTTTAGACCGGTGGCCACATTGATCCAATCCAAATTCAATATCAAATCATAATAATGTACAAAAGTTCCACTGAACAGTTATACATTAGAATAAACGGCTCTACTTAAGTACCAAGTATAATGTCACGTCCATGGCAGTTTTTTTGTTGTTGAAAATTTACCTTTTTGTGATAAAATATAGTTTTGCATCACTATATCTGTAATTAATCTTATTTTGTCCTTACTTACTCACTTGTTTGGCAAAATTAACACCTAACATGTAAGCATAACTTCCAACATTACACTTCAAGAATGAATTAATTAAATTCCATTGAAAACTAATAAAATGTTGTACTTTTGATGCTTAATTACATTGTAGTCCATTCCTGTCTCAGAACATAATAATTTCACTAAAAAGGATAATATCCTGCATTCTTTTTTCTGGTTCAGACACAAACAAATGCTGAAAACAAACAAAATCAACAATTTTGTGAATTTGTGTTTGCAATTGTCACCTCAGTGTGGCTTCCACTCAACATGTGGATAAAGCTCAATAGTTGCACATGCGCACACACGTTGGCTAAGCCCTCCTCTTTTATTGCAGAGAGACACACCCCACCCCCTTGATGCATCATATCAGCTCCCTCATTGCATGTAGACACAAACACACTGCACAGGAGTGTATTTGCACACTGCCTCATCCTACTCGCTAAGACGTCTCCCATGGAAGAAAGCATTAATTCATCCCTGATGTCTAGGAGTTATCTGTCTAAGATGGCTGTTTACTGATGATGATGTCAGAAATGAATGCAATCAAGTTAAAGGGATCCAGAAATTCACAAGATTCTATGTTTATCATCAACACACGTGAAATCTTGACTAAATTAAAAAACAATGTCAGTGCTTCTCAGGATCCACTGAGAATATTTTATTTCAGTATCTGGGTTACTCCATCCGTTTCACACTGATTTCCTTTTCATTTATGCTTCAAGGAGCTCTCAAACTGTACATTCTCCTCATTGTATTCCATATAAAACCTTGCAGTATTTCTCCTGCTGTTTGACCTTTATCTTCTATGGAGCTTTATCTATCTATTTTTTTCTTATTGCCGTGTTGTCTGTTCTTTTTAGTCAGGCTTGTATTTTTTAAATGAAACATTATCGCCATGATCTTCAGTGTACTGTGAGTTTTACACCCTTTCCTAGTGTTTCAATCCATATGACATCTCCTCCATGCTTACTGGTACCTTTGAAGTTCAACTCAAGCCTTACAATAGAAATAAAGATGACGAGAATATTACAGTAAAAATCCCAGCCTAGTCAATCAAATCGCTTCATTGTTCAATGTCACGATTTATTTTTAATGGCAGCATTTTTGTGAGTGAGTGCTGGTGAGCATTATACATCGTTTCCTTCTTTTATTATTCAAACAACAGTTTGAAATGTGTGCCACTGATCTCAGCAGTATACCTAGAAGCAGAGGAGGAAAGTGGAACAAAAATCCATGTCAACTCGTCACCAGCAAGACTGAAAATGGTTCAGAATGTAATTCTCTTTGGTGCAGCGCCTCCTTCTCCATTCTGTGTAATCTACAAGAATGCAAATCGCAATGCAAATGCAAATACTACTGAATTATTTATGTGAAGCGTAGTTCCGGAATCTTTTTGCTTAAATAGAGTAATGCGGCATTCAGAGCACACATTTGGTTAACCACAGAGATATTCCGTAGAATTTCACTGTTCAAATGTCAGTTCAACAGTTTAGTGACCGGTTTTAAGGAATCTGGATTACATTTCTCCATTTTGTTGAACGGGATCAAACACACATGTCTTTGTCTTACCATTTGAACATTTGATTTACATTCTTGATTGCTCTTTGGTGTTGATGTGTCATTCGGCGAGTGAATTGGAAACCAGAAACTAAATTGTTCTAGAACCGATGTAGATCATGTCTGACAGAAATGTATTTATTTTTCATTTATTTTCATGTTTAGTGCAGCTGAACTGTATTTAAATGTTGATCTGAACAATTGTTGACATTAGATCTAATTTTCAGATACTGCATTGCCTTTGCATCCAACACAGTGAATCTTCCCGTTGAAAATGTCATCTAATTTCTGTATATCAAATTGAAGCACATGCAGATTACCTTTGTATTTTGTTTCGAGGCTGCGAAGGAAATGACACGCATTACAATTAATTATGTTCATGTCCACTTGAACACATACATTCTGCCTTTTTTTCAGAAAAGGAAAAAGGTTCCATTTCCATCCTAACGGTGCTGAATTAAGGCTTCTCCCTCGGTGGTTTTTCCATCAAGGATTGTAATTAAGCAACAACATTCATGAGTGGGCATGCTCATTTAACCTGCGTCTGGGCTTATGCAGCTTTAGAGGGATGAAAAAACAAATCCAGGTGGAACAAGGCCATGTATTCTATAGCTGAAGTTACAACATTGCAGACAGAATAACAACTAATCCAAAACTTATATGCATGTTTCTTCTACATATTTGTTTTTTTCGGTATAAGAAAATATTAATATTTTCTGTTATGATGTACTTTTTTTGGAAATACCTCGACTGAAAATATGTTCTGAGCATATTTAAAATATTCCTATGTTCTAAATTATTATCATATCTTTCAATATAAAGAATAAAACCAAGATCCTAGTATTCACAAGTGTCTTTAATATGCATAATTGCATGCCTGAAAGTTGACATTATTGGGATTACTGGAGTTAAAAATTTGGCGGCATGGTAGTTGGACAGGTGGCAAATCAGATTTGAACATAAAACATTGCAAACATTTTTAATAAAAGTAATGAAATCAATTTTTAAAAATACAAAAAAATGTTTTGTTTAACTTGAACAAACTTGCATTATGATGTTTCATTCTCAATTGTACAATATTGTGACTAAAATATAATTCATTCTAGGCTGTTCAGACTGAAGAATTATACCTGTTTTTGGGCATCTCCTTAGTTGTTGAAAGATTTCAATATTGCACATTCACAGTATAAGCTATCAATTTCAAGGGTGAAACTTGTATGCTCTTTATTCTAATGAGTTTTCTACGTAACAAAAACCAAAATCTGCAATTCATATAATTTTTTTATATTCCACTGGGTTCTGAGGTTCTCCCTTTGGTCAGTGGAGCTACGATAGTTTTGTTTTCATCTTCTACGTCTCACACTCAACAAATTAACAACGCAGCCTCGGGCAAAGAGTTACGCTTGGTGTCAAATTAGCTTACTGGCAGTTACCAGCCTGAAGTATACAAAAATCAATTACTTAATTCATTTTTAGGATGGGTGTCACCATGGCTGGTTTTGCGGTTGTTCTTTTAACTCGATATATATTTCTTGCTGTGAACTCTATCGTCTGTTCGAATCACAGGAAAACACTGCACAACGCAATGAAATCACTACGAAATATGAATGCAGATTCCTTTTCCCATATTCAATGAAAGGCTGATTTATATCAGAATAATGCTTGTGTGTAAATGTGTGTGTGCTCACTAAGCAACAGACACAGAGGAATAAAGGCAGAGCTACAGGGAGAGAGAGAAGCTCATTATAATCAGCCAATTATGCTGGCAGAATTAGAAGCGTCCTTATTCTGTCTTATGGCAGCATGAGCGCGGAGACGTTTTTTAAAGCGACTGCAGACTAATCCATGGATATAACTGACTGTTCTGTGCAAATATGGAGCGTCTGTAGTTGTGTATGACTACAAGATTTGCAGGTAAAAAGCCTTTGATTTGGGCTTTTTGGAAAACCGGGACTCAAGCAAGGCTCCCCAGGTTCTGGGCTCTAATTTGCATTGATGAGGATTTTTTTTTCCTTTTCTCTCCAGCTTGAGGTTTTGGCTCAGCGGTGGTGAAAGACGAGAGCAGTTATACATGCCTACAACTCAGGACCATGGATGTACACAATCAGTGTTTTTCAAACAGTGGAATATTATTATGTTGCATGTATTCTTTAAGACATTGTATTCAATTTCATGTGGTATGGTATGTGCACTGCTGCTGTTTTTGATGTTGTTTGTGTATGTAGGTGTGTGTGTGTGTGTGTGTGTGTGTGTGTGTGTGTGTCATGTATGCTTTATTCCTAAAATTGAAAGCAATTTTTTTACAAATCAGTACACAAAAATATTTTTTTAATAAACTGAATATCAAAATAGGACGTGTTCAAGAAATATTGTCATTAAAATGAATGATTTTTTTTCATATGATCAAATGTATAAAAAAATACAATAATAGCTTCACCTGTTTATAAAAACACTTAAATCCCCCCAAAATGCGCTGTTGTTATTACTGAGTCCAGATTTGACAAATACGTCAGTGTGCACCACTGGCATGTCCACTTTGACCTTAGGTCAAGGGTGTTTGAGCAGCATTTGACTCTTGACCTCTACTACATGTCTTATCAACTGGCCTGTTCATGTGTATTGATCATTTCTTTCTTAAGACAGACACTGAAACATATTGTTAGGTCAAACTTTTAGGTAAAATATTTTTAAACAGGCACGTACAAAGGTATCGAATGACAGATTTTTTCCCGATTCCTTTATAATTCAAAACAAACAATGCTCATTTTTCTTGCCTTCAATGACAACATATTGCATATACAAGGACATCCTGGTATGTCTGTCTGGAAAAAGCAGACCAAACACCCCACTTTACCCACTCATTTTCCACTTGTCAAAATTGTTGAATTGTGCATGGATTTTTGCAATGCTGATTGTCTGCCAGTGTGCGTGTGTGTATGTGTGTGTGTCTGTGTGTGTGTGTGAGTGTGTGGGGGGGGGTTAAGATGAAGTAGAAAGACCACTCCCTGAAAGTTCTCAGGGAAGTGCTTGTGTCTCGCCCTGGAGCATGCAGCTGATTTGGGATAGGGTGTTAGCATAACAAAGGGCCTGAGCCTGTGAACTTGGGGCACCTTTCGACCCCGGCGCTGTGGGAATGAATAGTCTCTGCGCTCCCCCATAGAGGACCCCCATGGCTAGCCTGATCGTGGCTAAATTGTTAATCACGGTAATTTAATATAGTTTTCAATATGCCTCATCTCTCATCGGAAAAGCATTCACCGGCTTCTTGCCTTCCCCCCCCCCCCAAAAAAAACGGGCCCCCCACTATTCAACCAGGCGAGACAGGCAGCTGCAGGTCTTCTAGCCTACTCAATTGAAATGTTCAGACATGAACAATACAAGCCGTGCCTCAGCCCTGTGCTTTCTATGTGCGTGTATATCTGTTTATATGTGTGTGCCATATATTTACTTTGACCTGTGCTCATAAAAAGAGGAAATGAGGCAGTGTCTTTAAGGTCCTACACGACAGGCAACCTCTTGCACTATTTCCCTCCAACCAGAGGACAAAAAGAGGTCACTACGGGCAGTAACTCTCGGTCATAGGACGGATGACGTCAGCTCTCCCGGTAGAAGCGTCCGGTAGCTGAGGTGAGTCATCGGACTCCTGGCCCTAGTTTTAGGCAGTGCGACTTGGAAATAACACACGCACACACACACACACGCACACTTAGAACCAAACAAGTACACAGGGCGTGCAGGTCCTGCCTCTACCATCTATAAATACATACTGTAATGGAGAATGACTCACACACTTCATGGGTCTGTGTTGGGAGGCAGAAGATGGAGTTGGGAGGACAAAGAGTCCGTAGGAACGACGGAAGAAGGCTACAGTGACCCTGTGTTGGTGTCATCGTTGTGTACATTTTAGCTGCAGGGTAAGCTCAACAATAATGTGGTGGCAGAGAAATGGAGGACAAAGAGAGGAAGTAGGGTTCTCACAAAACGTGTTAAAACACTTCTTATAGTCATTGATATGAAATGAAACGCCACTGTGGGGTGTGGCGACTCGTCGAGGTGATCGATATCATCTATTTGAATGAGACATCTATTTGCATAAAGTCTGACTTTGCTTTGCAAGAATGCTATAGATGAGAAAATGCAGATACACGCTTACAACCTTTTTATTTTCATTGTCATACGCTGATGCAGATATTTCATTATCTTAGCCGTAATTTTAATTTCCAAAGTAAAGTAAAATGCCTATTATTCTGTTATTAATCCAGTGATTAAATGAACATGTATGTCTCACAGAACATAATGAGATAAATATTGAAATACAAATTAGTCTTACTATTTATATTTATTTAGGAAAAGGAATTATTGAATCAGGAGTACTTGTTAAGTACTGAAGTACTACAAGTACTTGTTATACCTATTAATTATAATTATATATTAGAGCTACTATTTCTGGAGCGTCCCAATATGAGATGGTTGCTTGCTGTAGATAACATAATTTTGCATTTCCACATGCTGTGGCTGATTTATTTATGAACAGTGGACACCAAAAGCTAGTAAGTGCTGTCAGCTTCTTGCTTACTTAGTTAGTTGCTTAATTTTTAGTTCACATCCTTGTTCCTTGTCAGTTAATAGTTTTTGGCATGGAGACACAACAATATATTGATGCATGTAATTCAACCAGCATATTAGCATAACACCTTGCCATGAGCAGACACTGCAAGGATTCTCAGGCCAGCACAGCGGGTTCCCTTGTGGGCCGTTGAATAGATGTGGTCTCCTCTTGTGTCGCGTGTACTCTATCTAAGCCTGTGTGTTAATTTATGCTGTGTGACGAGACGATAATTCATGCCAGATATCACCCGACAGCATCCACCCAAAACCCCAAAATCCAGACATACGTCAATATGAACCAAGGACCCTAAGTCAACATAACATCAGGCTTATTTGTTGCATCACCCACAGTGAAACAAATTAGTTAAATAAAATACATAAAAAAATAAAAACAAACCACAGCATCAATGTGACTAAAGATTGCGTCATTCTCCATCACCACTCATTGTTAGAAATGTCCATTACTGTTTGCACAACAAATTTGCTTGCATTTGCTACGTGGTTATTTTTGTTGGCTACTATCTGTTAATATCAGTAATAATATCAAATTATTATCCATAAAATACAGCCTTTATTAAAATAAATGTACTCTAAAAGTCAGTAAGTCAGTAGCTGCTCTGTGGATGCCTTTACTCTAAATTCCAAAGTTTGCATGTCATAGTATTTATTTTGCAGCTAGTAAGACAGGAAATCAAATTTATCAATATGGAAACAAAGGTATTATAGGCCCCTTGGGGGGACGGGGTCTAACTGGGGTCAGGACTACGGTGACTTGTCTAGACGCCTGCTATTGTGGTTGCAGGGTTTCAGCCCCTGTCTCACCCTTTCAATGGGAGAACTTGACCTGTGTCTAGCTGCCGTGGGATTCACAGAGGAGGAGAAAAGCAGAGATGGACTGACGAGACACTGGGAAACCAGTGAGAGAAGTTTTGAGCAATTAAGTAGTGAGACTGAACATTTTGGGGGAATCAAATTAAAAATATATATTTTGACTGTTACACTTTAAAGTTGCTTCAATTCACAACCTTGGATTTACTCAAAATTGTCGCCGGTTAACTTCAGGCCTTCCTTTAAGTCTGAACAATTTTCTAGTTACCCTGTATGGTCTTTGTATGGTCTCTGCACGCCAAACAGAATAATACAGGAAACGTCTTTTCATAAAAGCAGTTAGAACATGACAATGACAATACGAATACGCAATACAACCATTACTGTAAAATGCCAAATTCAAATCATTCCCTCCTGCTCTATTAGCTCCTGACTTGGTGTGTGTGCAGCGTGCAGGGGGAGGCTGCGGGGCATGGTATAATTGAAAGGCAGAAGAAGAACACTGCTTGTTTAAACCAAGGCAGTGAGGGCATGATGGGAAAACAAAGCCGGAGCCCCAGGAGTGCGTGACACAACATCACTAATGGCAAAGCAGAGAGGAATACTCCTCTGTTTAGTTACCCGTAGTTATTCTGCAAACCAGCAGGTTGGATACTAAACAATTGGCAGAAATGTACAAATTCAAGTGTAAAGTTTGCACAGCTACACTATGTTGGTTCACCAGGAGCTGACAAGAATCCTGTGCGCTGTTTTTTTCTCAATTTTTTTAAGGAAAAACATTCATCATCATCATCTGTGTCTTAACTTAATGCGTATCTTGTAGCCATAATGGCTTAATAAATGTTGATGTAAATTCAATTCCATATTCTCACAATATTTCAGGCTGCCACCAATACACAATGTTGGAAGGAGCCCTTATAGATTGATTAATACTGCACATATCACTGCCTTCTATGTACAGCACCTACAGTATATGATATAAATACACATAGCTGTGGACAGCGAGTGGGAGGTGGGGGGGGAAATTGAAGAGAGGAAGCAAAAAAGCTATTCTGTTTAAACAATATAAAAAACCTGAAATGTTCCCTGAGACCCTTCCATTCCTCAGAGCTGCTGTTTATTTTCTTCCTATGGATGAGTTTGACATGGGCTCTATCTCAGCAGTACAAGCTATAGCAGCTGTTAATTCCCACAAATCACCAGGCATGTCTTTCTCTTATGACCCACATCAGAATCTCCACCCCACAACCTGCAGACGGCGGCTCATTTTCAGCAAGCATTAATTTCAATATTACAATATCAATAAAGCCTTCTAGAGGTAACGTGGTAAAGGAGAGAGGAAAAGGGGTCAGATTGAACCGGGGGGGGACGATGGATGTGGGGAATGAGAGAGAGCAGAGGAGAATGGGGGAGGCAAAGAGAGAGAGAGAGAGTGAGAGAGAAAAAAAGAAAAGTAAGAAGAAAGATAGAAGAAGAAAGTGGTGGCTGCTCGTCTGTTTTGGCCCTGTGGTCTCGTGCCTCCTGGGATGGCCGAAGACTCTGTCAAGATTCTACACTTCAAAATCAATCTCGTTCGGTTTGGCACAAAAGGAAAGACACACACACGTCAGCACTCGCACACACAAACAAATGTTCATTTCAGCTTCAACTTAGCAGCCTCGGCGCGCCATGGCAACGTGCGATGTGGGGCTGCTGCGGGGAGAGAGTCCGTCACTAACTTTCCCTGGCGGAGGGGGCAGAGACCTGAGGGGGTTATTCATGCAGGTTCTTAGGGTTGCATGCAAGGATTGTGCAAAGAACTTAACTAATTAGAGAAATACACGTATTACAATAAAACAGCAAGATCCCCACATTCCCCAGTCAGGTGACTTTTAAACACTCTCACAATTGACCGTGTATAAAAACGTAATAGATAAACCGTTGGCTAAAAGAAATGAAAATAGTTAAATGAATGCTATTTGTCTGTTTGGATACAATATCCACTTATATAGTATACAGTGCAGTGACATTCAGGACTGGTTACATTTGACTCCATTCAAAAGAAATGACCACACATTTTGTTGTTTTTATTTTAGAGCTTGTGTGTTGTAATACCTTCGAATTGTGGTGATTATTTCTCAATAAAGCTCTGAAGCCGAAGTGGGAGAGCCATTGCACACAGGTTTGCAACCAAAGCACAATAATACAGAAGTGCACCTGTACCTTAATGGAATTTACAGGGCAAATACATTCAATGGCAACACAATATTATCAAAGACACAAATTTACCTGGATCAGGTACAGGATTGAATATAAAAGAACCCCACAGACCAAATACAGAACCTGATCTGCAGTTTACCTAATGCTTGACAAAACATTACAACAACTTTCTCTGATGAGTGGGGAGAGGTGATGGTTAAAACAACCATTGTTGTTTTGTAGTGACCCGTTTGTCACTATGTAACCCAAAATATGATGCACTATTTCAACATCTAGTGCACACTAGCGGGTCGATCTCTGACGCTGTGCGGCTAGTGGCCTTGCTGGCTGCTATCGGTGCCTAGCCGCCGAGCTGCAAGAGGTGATTTGCAGAATTGGATATTTAAGTTGTTGTATCTCATACGATAGAAAAGTAAGTGAAACACATTTTATTTCTGACTTTTTTCTTTTGAAAACTTTTAATTTTACAGTAAACCCAGTTAACCCCAACAACCTTGAATAATCCAATGAAAAGCCCAATTCCTGCAGGAGATTTCAGTTGTGCTGTCAAACAAGCTGGTTTATTAAAATCTGCACTTTATAACACATTTGATAGAGCTTGAACACTATGCAGCCTGCAGCTTCATTGGGTTACAGATCTTCTTTAACCAGAGATTTTAAAGACACACCAAAGGTTCAGTAAGACCTAATTTCTCTCGCTGGGAAGTTTCCAGACTTGGAGCTCTGTATCTTTTCGTCTGTTGGGATCATGGGGCAGATAGTACTTGTGAATCTTCTCCCAAACAAAATAAGATAACACAAAGTGTGCTGTCTGTAGATAAAAGAGAAATAGTGTGCCGTCTAGTGGAAAAATAATAGAAAGGAGACAAAGAAAGAAGCAAAAATGTTCTATTGTATAATAGAGTTTAGAAGTTTTATTCTTTACTTTTCTTTAACAGCAGCTTCAAGGTCATGTTCCATGGCCAAAAATCACCTTCAACGAAAACAACCTTTTTTTTTTTAAACATCTAAACTTTAATAGTAGAATTTGTGCATGCATTCTTACCGCCTTCAGGGTATCAATGGTGAGTAAGTGTCGTCTGAAGTCTTAATGTTTTCCCAAATGCTTTCGGCTTAATCCAATTGTACTGAAAGATGTATCTAGATGTAGTGTTTAAGCAAGTGACCTATTCATATATATATATATAAGTGTTGTATTCATCCAGATACAGAACTGTAATATTGTGAGTCCGCTATTTCTGTCAATCTACAGTAATGTGGGCATTTGAGCATTTGGGAGGGGTTATTTCACAGCACTACTGTGCAACTTTGTTAATGGGTGGATATCGTATAGAAACATTCAGACTGCATTTGGTTTTTGAATACTGATACCTTCTTAAAAAAACTTCATCTACGCACATTTTGAATTTGTATACTTTGTCCAGGCCTTCAGACCCACTTAGTGACAAACCATACTGTACTGCACTGACACATGTTTCTCCACAAGCAACTGCTTGTATTCTGTGAATACAATTATACAATTACGCATAAACACACATCTTTGCCTTTTTTTTGGAAAATAATGGGTATTTCTAAAGGCCTTGCAGAGGGTGGGGATGAATAGTCTAACTTGAATAGATAAAGGCTTGATCAGCTATTTCATTGTAAGGCTAATCGTCTCAGCACTTTTGAACCATTTTCTGTCAGCAGCAGAAAATGCTGGATATCTTCAAAAGGGTTTTGTGCTGCATCCTTCAAGTTGACACCAAGACATGTTGGAGTTATTTTTGTACTCCCGAGACACTTTAGGTTGACGCTTCCCTTTTCCTTTTGCTAGTTACCTGTAGATGTGACACTGCTGGCTTCAGGGCATCCTTTGCCTCATGACAAAAGCCACCAGCAGGAGATGCAAACATCAGTGGACCATCTTGGAATACACACCATCTCACCTGCCACGCTGTAACAATCACATGGACAACTTGGTGCAAACACGGTGGGTAGAAATGAACACAGGACCCAGCCGTCAGGCTCAAATTCACGTCCAACACGACCATTGACATGTGTGCGCTTCTGGAGTCTAGCGTGTGTGTACGTTTGTGTGTCGGTCTCTCTGTGGGGGGAGGGGAGACAGAGGTGGAGGCCATCTTTCATCTCTTGCTGTGATCAGATATTCTACATGATATGATATGATGATACAGACCTACTTAAGGGATGGGCCTGTGTGAAAAATGTGATGACAGGGCAAGCGGAAGAGTAGACTGTGATCTGACATCTGAGAGGGAGAGAAAGACAAGGGAGGGAGCGAGAGAGAATGGGTGAGGGCGGGAGAAGACCCAGGGTGGCAGACAGGACCGAAGACAGCTGTAGGAAAGGAGGGAAGAGTGATGCTGGTAAAGGAAATACAGATCGAGTTAGCGTGAGAAAAATAGGGAGAATGAATGTTAAAGAGGAAGAGACAGAAAACAAATGCGATTAGGGAAAAAGGAAAATGAAGAGGTCAAAAAAGATGAGTCTAATGAAAGATAGAAAAGGGAGACAAATGAGGCTGCTGTCCCAAAGGATCCTACTTTTTATTCGTCTTACAGTTTACATTTTTTTAAGGAAAACTTTGCCATGAATACTACACAGAAATTGTCCTACTTTTCTTTGATCAAACTTAAACCTGACAGAGAGGAAATGGCAACACAAGGAGGTGCAGAGAATATGCATCCAATCATTGCAGTTTTTTAATTGTTCCATGTTATGCACACACAGGCACATTTTATTTGTTAGTCAGAGGACGTGCACAAAATATAAAAAGGAGCTGATTATGAACAGGAAGGCTTCTTGGAAACTGTCTGAACCTGTTTCCCCTGTTTCCTCACGTTTCATTAATCTGTCAGGATAAACTACAACCATGTCATGCGTATGATGTCGATCGGGACGCATTGTGCTTTGATCACCCTTCCAGCTTTTATCAGCACGCGTGCTCTTTTCATAGCCAAATAGGACCCAATTATGTCAAGCACATTGTTTTTTACTTGGAGTGCACACCCACTACACAGAAAGGAGAGAAATAACTCACACTAAAACATCAGTTAAAAGAAGAAAAGGCTTTTATTAAGCTGCCAAAAATATATACTTTTTAGACTCAAATAATTACATGAAAAGAAAATGGGTTTGAACGTGAGAAATATTTTTATTCTAAGTATTCTCCCATTTAGAATAACAAAATATAAAACACAATTGGTTGTTACAGTTAGTGCATGGTCACAGGATTAGTCTGTTTGACCAGTAGTGCAGGAGTATGCAACCAATTGACAGAAAAACAGCAATGGAAAGTACAGTGCAGGTTCAAGGGTTGCAGAGTAATGTTAAGTGTCTTGATGCTCCTATTCCGATGAAAACTCTTGTTGATCAGGATGACTTGTTTACCTAACGAGAGAAAGAGAGACAATAATGAAAAAACTGTAAAGACATTTCATGATGAGCTTTGTTAACATTTCCTTTTTATTACATATTATCACATCAAAGGTCCATGAGGTAACGTTGGGGAAACTTGACCACATACTGTGTAACACAACAACTTCTACAGCAACTTCTCTTGTAGAAACAACAAGTGAAACTAAATCCTTTTTCCCAGCCAGAGGAGATCTTACAACTACCTGTTGGCGGCATGTTTTCTGTGACAGAAACACATAACTTATGTGTGTAAAATCTGCCTTCACTGTGGGACGGCACACTTGTCGTGTTTTATCACATCTTAAAGCAAGATCCTTGACTGAAAGGAGTTCAGTGAGCTGTGAGTTCCCGGTGTGTACTTGACGCTGACAAAGGCCTCAACAATAGTCGCTGACATTAGTCCCCCTCGTATCACGCTGCACTTTCCTTCCATTGTTCGCGCTGCACTTCTCACATGTATTGTCTTACGTGATATCCTTAGAACCTGATAAGACGCACGGTGAAAGTTTTTTGTAGCTGAGGACACAGGCCTGGGAGTGTCTCAGGGTTACAGCTGCTTATTATTCTCGCGTAGAGACTGGGAGCCTGTAGGGTCTGGGGAACGCCTTATCGGATCCCCTTTACACCCGGCCTAACCTGGGTTACCTGCACTTCAAGCCCTTTCTCCATTACTCCTGCCATACCTGACACTCCTTCCCCCAGAAAGGCATTATCGTATTGCATTTCTCGGAAACTATAAAGCTTGTTGACAAGCATGAAAGGTATTCCGGGGTCCGACATGAATGTGTAGGCTGCACAGAACAGCTGTTGTCATTTAAGACAGCAAGGATGTCCGACTGCCTCAGTAAAATCTTCAATGGGGTTGTTATCTTCTCAACACAGCAAAAGAAAACCAACAACATACTTTAGGATCCAGGATTTATTCTAAATTAATTTGCTGATTTATCCGGTCGGACAGTTGAAATCTCTGCAAAGTTGCTATAAGTCAGCAACTCCCCTCAGTGTTTTCCACAGATTAAAAAAAAAATACAAAGGTACTTTTTTTTTGGCCACATTGTCTCCTTCAAAAAAATTCTCTGATGTTTGGCTGCCAGTATAAAACATTACAGGGTTGGCAGGGGGTCCCTGGGACATCAACACCCAACTCAACCCAAGTGCAAAAGATGAAGGAGGTGGATTCAGACAAGCCAAGCAAACCACCCTGCCTGCACACAGCACCTCAAGGGCACACGCTGCCTTCTTGGCCTGCCTGCCTATCTGTGGCAGCTGATCCTCGTCAAAGCTGCATGTGCGTCTCTTGGCATCCTCCTCATCTTCTCTGCTGATACAGCAGTTGTGCAAAGCATGGGGCTGTGCATATATTGTGTGTGTGTGTTTCACGGCTTTGCTGATAATTCTCAGTGCCTTTTATTCTTGGGTTTCATCAAACAAAGCATTTGCTTGTTGAACAGGATAATTAGAGTTAAACTTGTTTTTAAGTTGAATTAAAAAATTAAAAATAGCGGCAACAATGCTGCACAAAACCAGTGCAAAAAATACTACACAAAAACATCAGCTGCAGATGTATTTTCTTCTATATTACATGTAAAATAATTATTTTGCCTCTCAGGCGCTTTACATTTTTCTTTAACTCAAAAATGGACCGGTATGCAAGTCTTCTGTCTTAGCCGACCTTTCAAAACAGGATAATGGGTGTGAAGAAAAAATATAGTCGCCTCTTACAACTTGGGGCGGTTCTTCTATTGAAAAAATCGACTGCAGAGGTAGACGTGTTGAGATATTTCTAGATGTTGCTTTATAGCAGGCCCACAGGGCACTGGAATATGTTTTTCTTATAAGGTTAACTGCTCTCCTTTTGATTGCCAAATGGACCCAATTTGACTGATCCGAAGTGGTTGTTGTTGTTTGGTGGTTGAAATGTTTTGATCATCAATTTTTGTATTGCTCCGCACAATCTGTGTTTTGTAGGGGCATTGTTCTGGCGCTTTTGCAGTGAGACTGGTGAAGATTAATGGATATGTATTTGCCACTCAAAGAACAATAGCAACAAATGAAAATAAGAATACTACTTAAATCTAATCATTTTCAAGACATGATGCAATTGTAAAAATATATTTTGTCATTCAAATCGCACCGCATTGGTCAATTTGAGTAGGCCCCGGTTTTCCCAGACCAGATCTACAAACATGGATAGTTGTCATGCAACCTCCGATAAAAATAGAGGATTTGATGTCAAGGTGTCCCCTGGAAAATTGACAAGTGGTGCCTTGTGGTGCGCAAGTCTGATAACAGGGTGGAATAGTTGAATGTCTTGCACTTCTTCTGCTAACTACTCCCAGTGGACTCTAGTCAGATGCTTCCACTCTCCATGAGGAGGGGACTGCTGCTGCTGCTGCCGATCTGCAGAGAGTACGACTAAACCAAAGTATCACAACTGGCACCAAGAGGCAGGTGACACAGACTCAGTTGAGGAGAAACCTGATTAATACACATACATGTGTAAACACGTGTAGGACTACTTGCATTATATAATCTAGGACTGGGGTGACTTTGGACACAAAGGTATGCAAACAAACAGACTTGGTGCACAAAAACAGTCAAAGATAAATATACGGACGTTAATACGAAAAATGCCCGCTTGCAGTGATGACTGACACAGACACAAACACAAACACATCCCTCCACCATCATTTCTGTCCCTCCCCTACTCGCTCTTTATATCTCCGCCCATGCTTCTGAACCTTCGGGAGACATATTCTTTTTCATCTGTCAGTATGGATGGAAACAGACATGTTCCAAACACACAACAATATCCTCACCAGCACCAAAAAGGTTCTGTTTTGTATGCTTGAAACACTGCATTACCCCCTAAGTGTCTAGCAACCCTGGTATAGTAAATAATGGATGCTACTCTTCCTTCAGAAACAACCCTCTTTCACTTCAGGGACCAGTCATGGTTTACCTGCATAAATGCCCTTTCTGTGTCTTTGGAGAAATGGATAGCACTAAAAGATGTGGGTCAGACAATTTCATTAGCTGAGAATGTCTCCCTGTGTCTCCTTCCATCCTTCATCATTTGTCAGAGGCAATGTCACTCAAATATACAAACCCGTTCATAGAGAATTCACTGAGAAAAAGGAGGCAAAGACCGCTGATCCATAGCGCAGGAATCATAAAATATAGCCCGTATAACAAGATGGCAGATATTTTGACGCTTGAAAGGAGAGAGCGCAGTCACCTTTGAGCTCAGCTGAATATCCTTGACGTCTTCAGCCTGAAGAATCCAAACATTGTGCCATTTATTTCTGAGTCACAATCCACGAGATCTCCATCGCACCTGGAAAGACACGATAGGCGTAATGATTAGTACGTACATATACATTGAGATAAGCTCACATACATGCAAGGTGTCATTTCATTTCACAGACCCTGCCAAGAAGCAGACTTTGGACAATAAGAGTCCAGGATGACTTGCTTTTGGTTCTTGACCTACTTGTTTCCCTTTACTTTGTACAGTTAGCTCAAAACCCTGAGTAAGAATGAAAAGGATTACTTTGTGCCACCATGTAACTCTCACTGGTCTCCATCCCCCATTATTTCTGAGGTTACATCGAAAGAGTTTCAGCTATTGTGAATTATTCACTTGATTCACCATTCCGGCCTTTAACCCCTCAGCAAATGCACAGGAAGTCAGGGTTAAAAATACACTCCCCGAGGATCTGAGTCTGAGTCTACATGCATGTGTATGTGAGCGTGTGGGCAGAGACACTATATAACCCGTGACATATAAAGCATCTTATATCACATCTTGTAGAGACACACAGGATCTCATCAGATAATCATTTTGTGAGTACTGTCTGAGTGAGGATCCAGGCCGTCCCAGATGGGATTATTATAACACAGCTTGATCTATGCCAGAGCTACTGTGTGTGTGAAATAGTTTGTGTCAGTGTGTACGCATGTTAGTTATAGATTCAGTGAATCCTGACCTGTGCTTGAAGTATACAACACATAGTACATGAATGAAGCTGCTGTACAAGAAGGTGGTTTTCTTATCAACCGTATGCATACTGGTTCTGACACAGCTGTCGAGAAAAGCAGCAGCTTTCCTGTCTGAGTGAATATTAATGTTACCGAGATATGTGGTACTTAATGGACCCCCCAGCCAACCTCCCAAGGACACACACACACACACACACACACACACACACACACACACACACACACACACACACACACACACACACACACACACACACACTAACTCTACCAGGCCATGTTGCCGTGGTATGTCCCTGGCATGCAGCAGTGTTGTCATGGATACCCCCAGACACATCCGCCATCCCGTAAGCGGGGGGGATGCTGAGCGCTTCAGAGGGGCTGGCGCCGAGCCCCCCCCTCTTTCCCCCTAACCCTCAACCCCCTTTTCTCTATCCCCTTCCCCCTAAACTGAATCCCTGTATCTTATTTTCCCCGAAAAACTAGCTCAGCCTAGAAAAAAGCTTTCTTCTTGTCAGCTGGGTAGGCCTGGAAGAGCACAGCTGCTATCTCGTCCCAATGTTGGGGCATCCATTGCTCTTAACGGGAGTGGGCTTTAATGTAACTATGGAGGAGCAATAACAAGAATGAGCACTTGCTTTGCATGCACAGGTTTGGATCTTGTTTGAGAAATCCTATGATATGTGTTAAACTGGGAAAAAGAATGGCATTCGTGTGTGTATGGATTTGTGTGTTAGCCCTGAGGGCCATGGTTAAGCGTGCAGTTTATCCTGATCCTTTTCATTAGCCATTATCAATAATTCAACATTGCAGTTGCTTTAATGATTTAATGTGGGCAAACCCTCAATTCGCACACATCCACACTGACATGCACGGACACTCTCCTTAGTAGCAGTTACCCTCTTGGCCTCCACCAAACGATGAATATTGTGGTGCAAACATGCACATAACACAGTCTAACCGAAGCCTTTAAAAATAGCTATCAATCAGATTTGTTTTTTCCCAACCAGGCATATGATCTCCTTATTTAGAGAATAAATGGTTTATTATTTCCCTATAAAATTCAGTTTTACTATACAAGTTATATTTGCAATAAAAAGGTACATCCATCTTCTACTCTGAGATGAGGAAATAAAAGGGTTAATCTTTTATGATGCCTCCCCTCACAACCGCGCTTCTTTCGCCCTCCCTTTCTCAAATATGGCCGCGCAATGTCTGCACATGTGCTGCAAAAAAGGATCTACTTTGATTGGAAGGCTAGTTTGAAGTGTCTATTATTTCATACAGATACAGATACAGGTACAGATTCTCTTGTCTGAAATGAGTTTGGGGCACAGAATGGTGAGTGTGTGTGTGTCTCCCTCCAAAAACATACAGTGCCATTCCATCCCCCCCTTAAACTCTCCATCTATGGGGAGGAACGCTGACCTACAAAACAGCCAGCGTAGCGGGACGAGGATATATGCATGCACATGATCTCCCCTCAACGCCAAACAGATCATAAATTCAGAGTACAATAGCTTAAGACATTAACAAAGCGAATTAAGCACCAAAAAACATCACACAACGATACAGCAGGTTGGTTCTATGTTCTGATGTAAATCACGGGGTGATATTGGGCCAACATGAACGCCACAAGATGTTTTCACGAATTCCATCCATCAGATAACGAATGTTATCCTAAATTATCTAAAAATTAAACTAAATCTAAATTATCCCTCCTACTTTTGTCATTTAAACTCTTTCCTGTATCTTTCTCTTCTGCTGTTGCCATACCAGAGTGAGTAATATAATCCCAGTGTCTGTGTCGAGAGAGAGGAACAATAAGATCATGTTTAAAGAAAAAGGGAGAGAGCGACAGACCGTGTCTAAAAGCATATGTTTTTGTGTAAATACAGTTTGTGAATGAGGGCACGCTCCTCTTATGGTAATTAAAGCTTCAGACTCAAATCTGAATCTGGGGTTGGATTTAGACTGACAAATATGGACACAGCGATGAAGAAAAAGGAGAAGAAAAAAAGAAAAAAGAAGCAGACAGACAGCAGAGTCTACAAATAGAGTCCGTTGTCTGAACCTCTCAACTGATGTGATGGTTAAAAAAAAGGGCTTTTCAGGCCGAAAACAGGATCAAACAACCTGCTGTGGAGTCCGGTTACACCCTCACAATGGCTTACATTCACTCTCAGCCCCAACACACAAGCTTTTACCTCAAAGGGTGCAGAGGGAGAGAGTGGTAAGACGGGTGTGTACGTACAGGTATGGAGGGGGCCACAGCGTTATCTTAGACGATAATGGTGTTCAACAGATTAAACGGATAGCCTAACATGTTTGTTTCCAACTGTCGGCTTCTGCAGCTCAACTGAGATCCGTGGTCAAGCCTGCAGGCCCTTTGAATCTCAATGAAACTTGATTTTGTCATTGAAAGTAATAAACTTAGCTAAAGACAACTAGTGAAGAGAGAGCAGTTGAGGAGAGACAAAAACGGGTTTGTCTTTGTCAGAAAATCCGTTGTTCTCCAACTAATTCAATTGAACATTGGATGGACTTTTACCGGACTGGTGAATAAATGGTGGATGTTTTTTTATACTCCACTACATTAGCTCAGATTTTTAGTGACGGATCCTAAAGATATCATCCCTGTAAGCTTCTCCGCACACACCCGACAATCGGATTAATTACAGACACACAATAGACAGAGCTACTTTCTGCTAACCTCCTAAGACCCTGACTCTCAAGCCACGAAGAGCAGACCCGGCAATTTGTGTTTGTTTTATATTGGTTCAATAGTTCTGGAGAAATTAGTATGCAGTCAGGGATGGGAGAGCTTGTCAAGATCAGGGGGGAGGGAATCTCTGCACAACCCCCTGGACGGATCTACATCCATGAACAAGGTTGACAAGAAAGCTAACTAGAGTAAAGACAAGAGGCAAATAAAATGGCAGAGATCATGAATTTTCTGTTTCACAGGAAGGCAAAGAGAACTCCCCTCGCAGACAGGCTCTTTCTCTCTCTGTCTGTCTCGTTTGTCAGTTCATCTGTCAAGACAATCACTCTCTCTTTCTCTTCTTCACACCTTCTAGCCCCTCTTCTCCTTTCCCAAACCATGTGTCATGCACATCAAAATGCCGAGGCCGTTCCTTTCTGAGGGTGTTCTGCTGGACCGTAGAGCGAATAAACATCTATGTCAGGAGAAAGCAATCTGGGGCCCTTCCCTCACTGAGCTCGATCCCTCCTGGGAAACACACCGCTCATACAATGGATAGAGGAGGCCTTTTGTTGGGTCCCTGGGAGCTGTAGGGCTAGCTCTGGATCAGACGGGGGTGTGTGTACATTTCTGCATTTTTTACACACACACACACACACACACACACACACACACACACACACACACACACACATACACGCACACAAATAGAGTCAAGAGCAACCCACACGCAGGAGTGAACCCCCTCCCCCCCCCCCCCTACACTTACACACAGATTTGACTTTTCTTTCTAAACTGCAAGCTCTTTACCAGTTACTGAAGCTAGGAAGATGAATTTTAAACAGCCCATAAGAAAGGGAGAAGAGAACGAGGGGTGAATGTTGACGTCGGACTGTTTCAGACTGGTTGGTTGTCTTTCCAAAGGGGCTTTTCGTTGCGCTCTGTAGAAATCAGAGTTCAAAGCATCAGGCCTCCCTCCTGGGGTCCAAGGCAGCACAGCAACACAGGAGGAGAAACGTGTGAACAAACGCGGTGAAAATCCGAACGCTTGGATACAAAACTTTTACGGTTCGACCGCGCCACCCACAAAGTATTTTAATATGTTTCCATTTGACCCTCCGCCTGGCTCCTGGTCGTCTGCCCCTCGTGTACGATCTGTGGGAATTCTCCTCATTGAAATGAACTGGCACCATCTGACCCTATTCATTCCCAATACTGCACTTTCTCTGGTTCTCCCCCTTTTTCAGTCCCCCGGTTTCCCACAGAACCCCCTCTTCGTTCTCTCCCTCTCTATCTTTGCATCCTCCACTTCTTTCTTTCAACCTTCCTGCTGCCCCCCCTCCCAAGTCTGTGCCTTGCTTTCAACTCCAATTTTGGGCACAATGAAGTTGTTCTGGCTGACAGTTTGGCCGGTAGAATAAGTGTTGTTTGAGCACGCTGTGTGGTACTGCGGTGGACCCATTCTCCCCCTCGCCGGCTCAGTTACTGAGAGCCTTGTTGGTGGGACACGGAAGCCATCCGTCCCCACGCTCCCACCCTGACCCAAACAATTAGCTTCAAACTGCACTCGGGCTCACCTGCGCCTCCTCCTCACATACGTTGCATTAGGTATTTAATCCTTTGCGTCTCTGCTA